TCGCGTTTGGGGAAGAGGGGGCGGCGATTTTTGCGGATTGGATCGTGGAGATGAAGTTACGCGTCGCGGGGGAGCTCGAGTTTGCGGAGAGGGCCCTGATGATGCCGTATTTTGGCGGGGTTCAGGAAGATGGCCGGGAGTTCTATTGTGTTTGAAGAGGAGTGGAAAGTTGAGTTTGTGGCTTATAGAAGGTTGGAAAGAGGGGGAAGATGTATATACCAGTGACGATGTGCGCCGTGTCAAGTTAGCTGAGATAGATATCACAGAGGCGTTTGGTTTGGCTTATTGAACGAATATCGAAAAAACGATGCATGACTCGCGCCAACTCCTATTAAGTCCAGTAATCATCCACCGACCTTTATACATACACGATCAGGGGGAAACACGTAAATTTTTGCCCAGCAACGCTGACCATTCCGTTCTCTGTCTTTTTTCGCTATTTTCATCTTTAAATGTTTTGTGCCGTTTTGAAACAATAAAAACGCTTTTGGTATCGTCATTATACCGAGAATATCTCTCGCCTCCACTGGGGGAGAGAGTCCGTGACCAAACCACCTCACCCTTACAAAAAGTAGTCCGCCACGGGCTTCTTCGCAGGCATGCCCCTAGAATCCTGCGGCGCGGCCTGGAACACGCGGTACCTCCTCGCGGGCCCGGGGAGGAGTACCTGGTCGTCGGTGCCCCGAATATTGCCGTCGCTGCGTCCCCGATCGCCGTTGCTGCGCGCAAAGACGCCCGTGCCCGAATCGTCCTCGGCTAGCTCGAGGATGGCCGCCACGTTGCCGCAGCGGTAGCAGTAGTTGGGCGCCGACCACACCGTCACGATGCTGGCGTCAAACATCTCCTTGAACCCTTCCATGACCAGCTGGTGGGCGCGCGCAATGAGCGAGAGGTCGTTCTTGTGGTTGAAGTCGCGGACGATATCGGCGCCAAAGAGGAAGCCCGCGCCGCGCGGCGACAGGCCCCAGCCGTCGATCTCGTCCGGGTCGGACCAGAGCAGATCGCACATGGCGCCCTCGTGGGGGACTTCCTGCTTTCTGTCCAACAGCCGGATCTTATCTACGCTGTCTATAAGCGGGGACAACCCGCCATGAACGCACAGAATGGCTCCGGCGGGGTTGCCTATAGAACCTGATGCGCTTCCTGATGCGCCGCTTCCTGGCGGGCCTGTCTTGTCGCCGCCGGACGAGGGGGCACCGTTGGGGCTATTCGTAGGTTGCCTTTGTGGTCGTCTCTGTCGGGGGAAGCGGCTCATTGTTGAGCCGTTTTGATCGCAGACCTCAATTTCAGTATCTTCGCTGATGGGGTCTTGTCCCGGAGTGGAGTTGAATGTGTGTGATGCGCCGAGAACGATGGCGCCGAGGGCGAGGTAGTCGAATACGTCGCAGCAGTACCGCCAGACGTTGGCGGAGCCGTATTTCCGAAGGCACTCGTCGTAGAAGCCGTAGACGGTAGTGATTTGGCGGGATTCGTGGTTGCCCCTGATAAGGGTCATGCGGTCGGGGTAGCGGACTTTGAGGCAGAGAAGAAGGAGGAAGGACTCGAGGGAGTAGAAGCCGCGGTCGACAAAGTCACCTATACGAAGGAAGCGTCAGCACATCCGATAAGTGCCGTGGGTGAGCGAGAGATCATGAGGGCATACCCATGAAGAGGTAGTTGGTATCGGGAACATCGCCGCCTACTCGGAAGAGCTCCATGAGGTCGTGAAACTGGCCGTGAATGTCGCCACATATCTAGTCCGATGTCAGCGTCTACTCGCCGGAAATTTACGGCGGGGGTTCCTCATCGTACCGTTACGGGGGCTGTAACCGTGACAACATTTCCTTCCTCAATGAGCAGCTCGCGCGCCTTGTGGCATAGCTCTCGGACTTGCGCTTCGGGTATCGGTCGACAGGCGCGCAGTTGTGCGATAGCTCTGGGTTAAGCGTCAGCGCCTTTTCAGTCATGAGAGATAGTATGCGATCGCGAGTATGCTCACTTATCGAGGTCGCTCATTGTGGAATTTGAGGAGGGGTTCCTTGGTCTGGGTCGCGGCGCCCGAGGCCGAGGACTCGCGATATCGAGGTGGAAAGGATGGCGGGTATTCGTTCTACTTTATAGCATGTCGTGTGGAGTATTCGATTCGGCGCGATCGACGGCAGCTACCTTAACGTCGTCGTAAGAATGCGGATTGAGCACTTGCGTAGGGGCGATCAGGGCTTCGAGGATGGGATGGCGTCAGTAAAGTTCAAAGAGGTGCATGGTTGCCCTTTAGCGGTCGCTGGTCGCCTGCCAACCCCCAATTCGAACTTCCAATCGCGCCGGGATCTGCAAAAAGTGGATAGATGGCCAATGCGTCGCTGTGGGTTCTCGCTGGAGTGCATCCCGGCCCGGGGAATTGTTCAGGGCTCCATCTCGGGACTTCAGTTATTGCGACGACCGAAGATTGGATCCTCAGGCTCGCGACCTGCACTTATTAGCTGGCATGTCACGTCGCCCAGGGTGGACCCACTCCGGGCCGCCGGAATCCAATCAGAAGGCCTGCATATCAGTTCGGGTCATTAAGCTTCACTGCAGGTTTGCGAGAAAATCATCCGTTGGCCATCGTCATTGCGAACCTCAAGCCTTCGTTAAGGGGACTACATTCGGATCCGTCACCCCGTCGCGCGAGCATGGTGCTGTCATAGGTGAGGAGCCTCAGTCAATTGGGTCATTTTGATGAATTTCAAAGTCGCTAACGTCCAATGGCACGCAGAAGTTCGAAGCCTCCTTTTTCCGAACACCAAAGAAAAAAAATCGCGATCATGCCACCACACCCCCTCCACCCGAGGTCGCGCATGACCTCTTCGCTCTTTGCAACCACGGTTGTCGCAAGCTTCTTCGTAGTCGGCATGCCGCATCTGTTACCGTGTCCGGCACCGAGAGTCACATACGCCGATGGAGAGATAGTGGTGGGCGAGGACGGTCGCCGAAGGAGGCGCCGCCGTCGCGAGGCAGCCCCCGAAATCAACGACGGCGTCGTCAGCTTCAATCAAATGGGCGACGAGGAAACGATACGAGCACGAGAGGAGCGATTGAGGAGGGAGTGCCCAGTACCGAAACCTGGCGGCATTTTGGGCGAGTGGTTGGGATTCCACGGGCCGACCAAAGCAGAAGATGGCAGAGCGGGAAGGTGACGACAGCAGATGAACATATGTACAAATAACTCAAAGATACCATTTACGATCAACAATTGCGGTCCCGGCGGCATTGGATGTGCGATAACGATAGACGGGGTGACACGCAGGAGATGGTCAATGTGACGAGCATGCAATCAGTCAGCGAACAATCGCTCTGCCAAATTGAGAGGATATGGGTTAAGGACACCCGCTTACGCCAGAAAAAAAAAAGAGTTCACCCCCCCGGTGCTGAACTGGGGGCTACATCTCTTGGTGCTCATGCTGGGATTCGAACTCGGGTACTCGCTAAGGCTGTCGTCGAGTAGGCTGGTTGGCGTTTTAACTGCTGACCTTGAACGACTCCACCAACCAGCCAGTTTGACCTGACCCCCGACCTAGAGGGCGCCTGCTGGCTGGTGACAGGGACGGAATTGAGGGGGTCTATATGGGCTTGCTCTTGTGGTGTATTCAGTAGAGCTGGGATGAATATACATACACGGGATGATTCACTGAAGGTGGCTGATGCGCCGCGAAGAGTTTGGGAACAAGAGCCCGAATTAGGAAGTAAGGGTGCCCAGAATCATGAATCCTCCAGTAAACCGCAGGTCCTCAAGAGCCCTTGCTCAAGTGAGCAACGCAACCCAGCCTTCCCACTGATGCCGCAATTGTTGCCTCAAGTGGCGTGTTCAACGATATCTCAGGCGTTTAACTGACAGTCTAGAGTTTTCGAGTCTAGAGCACAGCATTGCAACATCGGCTGCCGCGCCTTTGCAGTTGGACTCAAATGGGCGACCAGTACGCCGCAATCACACTCTCGGGCTACGTCGAGACAGATGGTGGTAGAGGGCCTCCGATGCAGAGGTGCTTTGGGCCCTACCCTATAGCCAAATAACGATTCAACTTCAAGTCACGTAATCGACAAGCAGCCCATCGTGCACAATACCCCATGGCCCAAGCAGTTCGCGATGTTCAGAGTCACGCACGCAATGATATACCTCTGCTACCAGTACTTGGGGGCTGTTGGTCGGGGCTTGCCAAGTCTAAATAAGCAGTCATCCTAAAAAACAAGGTTATTTTGGCATTGACTGCGCCTGAAACTTAGGTGCAGTTCGCCCTTGCAGAGTTGCATCCTCTTGATCCTTGCGAGCTTCGACCAAGAAAACGGCTGGGGACGGGCCCAGCGGGTCGTTCTTGGTGAGAACAGATGAGTGTCTTGCTCGAGATTTTTCGATCTTCACAGTCCGAACGCCGTTGGCTGGAGTCCTTAAAGTCTTCAAATTGCTATTTTCTCCGAGTCATCCTCGCTGACGACGATCAAGATCGCCGCTCGTCTTTCTCTCTCATGTTCCGTTTCCCAACGAAGTTCTCATACCCCTGAATCTGGTGTAAGAAGTGCCGTGAGCTTATTACGTATGATCTTCCGGGAAATTCTACACACAGGATTCGCCTCGCCTCAGCAGTGAATCCAATGCCTGCCTACGTTGCCAGGGCATAAAGTAGCAATACTGAAGGCTCTACCAAATTTTCCACGGCTTTCTGGTGTTCCGTCCATGACCGGGCGATCGTGGGGGATGAGACGTCGGAAGAGACTCAGGCAAGTGATCCGTGCTGCTAGGCCGCGCCCCTGCCTCCGGCCCGCAACCTTAACACCCGCTAACAATATCTGACGCAGGGAGCCCCTGATGGACGCCTTGGCGTAGAGGAACGCTGGCCAACTTTTTAGTCATTGTTGCTCCCGCAAACCACTCACACACATACACAACGACGCATATACCCTCACGAGGCTTCACAGCCTCTCCTCGTGGTTAAGAGTGACAAGGTTGTGTCTTCTTCAGGCTTGTGTGCGGGGCGGAGGTGTACCACATGGGCGGCTTGCGGTCTGATCTCCAAAGCGCCAAGAACGGCTCTGATCAGTCGAAACAGCCGGGAGGACGAATCACGAAGAACGCCTGGAGCCTTGGGCCCATTGAGATTTTAGCATCGCGGTTTAGAGTTGAGGTGACGGGTGCCATCTGTTTTCTACCGGGGCACGAACTGAGACCGGATTCAGCACACCCATCGTATGCCGGTCTTTCAAGGGTGGAGACCTTGCATCCTGCTTCGCACCTTGGGGAGGCAACTTGCAAGACGCCACCAGCCTGGCAGACCGTTGGCATGTTACGCAACCCGAAAATTCCGGATGGCATCTGTCTCATGAGCCCTGGTAGATGCCATCTGATCAGCAGAGGCTCTGGGCTGGGGGGAGGGGAGCGCCAGCCCAATACTGGGCCTGGTCCACACAAAGACTTATGCTTAATGACAGTCCGGGAAGATGTGAAGTTAAATAGACTTCATTTCCCCGAACCAGAGTATGTTTTGTTCCTCATCCCTTCTCTCAGGACAGTGTCTTTTTTCTACATCAAACTTTTCAATTCTATTCTTCAAGAGCTGTGCTCTATTTCCATTCATTCTCAGCTTCTCTGTCATTCCTTGATACCCCAATTGTAAGTTTTTCTCCCATCCAGGGCTGGCTAGAAACGCAACGCTGACTAGAATCTCCAGTTTGTACCGTTTTCTCTTCACGACAGTCATTCCACAATGAAGTCCTCCATGATCCTTCTCATTGCTACCGGCCTGGTGTCGGGTCTGAGCATCCCCAAGCAGCTGGACACCCGCCAGGCCATCGCCCAGGCCCCGGCCGCTGCTCCCGCAGCTGCTGCTCCTGTTGCTGCACCTGCTGCTGCACCTGCTGCACCTGCTGCTCCCGCCGCTGAGGCTCCCGCCGCTGCTCCCGCGGACGCCGCCGCCGAGGAGGCGAAGAAGAAGGCTGAAGAGGAAGCTGCCAAGAAGGCGGCCGAAGACGCCGCCAAGGCTGGCGAGGGCGCTGCCGCTGCTCCCCCAGCCGAGGCCGCTCCCCCGGCCGCCGCCCCTCCTGCTGAGGGTGCTGACGCCGCCGCTGAGGCTGCGAAGAAGGCACAAGAGGATGCCGCCAAGAAGGCTGCAGAGGACGCTGCGAAGAAGGCACAGGAGGACGCGGCCAAGCAGGCCGAAGACAAGCAAAAGGAGGCTGCCAAGGAGGCCGCTAAGCAGGCTGAGAAGGCTATGGGAGACTACCAGAAGGGCAACAACAACAACAACAACGACAACAAGGGCAACAACAACAACAACAATGGTAACAACCGCAACAATGGAAACAACCGCAACAACAACAACAACAACAACAATAACAACAACGCCCTGTTGCTCCAGAACATCCAGCTCCTCCTCGCCGCCATGAACCTCCAGAACGTCGTCAACGTCCAGGCCCTCGCCCAGCTCCAGGCGCAGCAGCAGCTCGTGATGCTCGCCCAGCTTCAGCAGCTCGCCCAGCTCAACGCCGTCGGCCTCGTCAACCAGGTCCAGGTTGTCGCTCTAATGCAGCAGGGTCTCGTCCTCGGCGGTGTCCAGCTCGGCGGCGTCCAGGTTGTCAAGATCCAGTGAACAATTTGCTGCAGAAGTTCAGGGGAGGGAGCATACAGTGTACAGGGCGATGTAACTGCAAAAATGTAATTGACACAATTTCTACGGTGCAAGGAGCAATCATTCAATCAGTGTTTAGCACCGGGGGCGCCACTGTGTTTGTTTAGATGTCTCATGCGTTGCGGAGGTGTGAGGGAACCCGCGCCGCGTGATCGGTTGGGTTTGGCATCCTTAGTGGACGGTCTCTACTGAAGGTTGAGGTGACATTGGTATGGCCGTGGTAGCACTCAATGGTCTCCTAGAAAGGGGTTGGGAATCGGTGGTCCACATTACATGGGAATGGGTAACGGTGCATTATTCAACGGCTCTACATATCAGACTAGGATTTGGCAAGTGCTTTAATGTAGTTTATGGAAAAAAGTGTCACTGATCCACATGCCAAAACCTTTGAGTTTTACGTTGAGTTTTACTTTCCTTCCGTTGATAGTTGTGTCTGTCTCAAAACTTTGCTGATGTCGCGAGGGGGTCATGTTTAGGGCGGGATATCCCTGTTCGAATGCCAAGTTTGTTGACAGCATATTGACTTAAGCTTATCCTCGATGAATTCTCCTTTGATCGATCTGATTACTTCTGACTCAGCACAATGTTTGCCATACCATGTCACCTTCATTTTCATTCCAGTCGGCCAAAGGTATTTGACGTCTAAATCCAGCTCACCCGATTCGTGAATGATTTACACTTGGGTAGGAAAGGGTTCTCATCGTGATGGTGGACGATATGACGAGCACATAAAATCCGTTCGCCTCCTCACTCAGTTTTTGCATCAAAAGTCGACAGTCATGTATGGTACCGAGATGCCCTCGTCAAACGCAAACCCAACCCTCCTCTTCCCGGAAGCGTAGAACACCCGAGTTGCGGGGAAAGGAGACGTCAAAAGAAAAGAAGGTGAAGAACCAGGGTGTGACATCTGCAGCCCTGTCGCGCGTTCCCTTGTCGTCAATGCCATGGAGGGAAGATGCCTCATCGACAGAAGCCTGAGACACTTGGAGGGGTTCGGGGTTGGTGAGCCGAGCAGGGGGGGTTCCGACGACAGCAGGAAAAGGGCGGCGGTAGGGTCACTGTGTGCTGCACATTGCGCCCGGACCGCTTGTCAGTGACGCTAGAGGTTCTGACTTGCTGGAAGAGGAGAATTGCGGGGTCTGTAATAGCCAATTAACGCCTAGTCAAGACTTGCAGGGGCCGTACAGAGGTCCGAGGGATGCTGATGGACCCCACTGACACGAGTTTAAACAGCCACTAAACCTTAGTTGAGCCGCTCCGACGTCGACGGTCCTCCTCCTCCCGTCTCTCTCGATTCTCTGCGTTGAGTCCCTGCTTGGACTATGCCATTCACAACCACTCATTCCAATACCAAGAGCGAGAATGGAATGATGTCCTCACACCCCAATTCGATGATCAATGCCACCCTGATCCAACGCATCGCCGGCGAGCCGGCTCGGCAGTCTCCTAAGGCAGAGCCGAAAATCCTGACGCGAGTGCAACGAGACCAACTTCATTCATCCCGTCTTGACTGCTGTCAGAGACCCCAGCGGGCCCAGCCTTGGAACGACCCATCGGACTTCTCATCACCCGGCCGAGCATACCAGTTGTTCCAGCTCGGTACGCAGGTCTTTTCGGATGACACACCTGTCATCGCAGCATCGTCCCAACTCGCAAGTGTCTGACTGAATGCCGCCACACCACCGCCCCTTGTTCTTCCACTTCTTCTTCCAACTTCCCTCCGCATTGTCGTCGCACATACCCAACACCACCCTCACAAAACCTGTGATCAAACCAAGTCCTTTTCCACCGCTGCTTCTCATCATCAGACCCTACGAAACAGATTTTTGGCTCGGTTCTATGTGTAGATCTCATGAGTCTATTCCAGTTTTCGTCCCCCGTCCCCTGTCTCCCTTCTCTCACACAAAGTCCGCGGGAAGGAAACTGGCTGGAAGGGCCATGTGCCGGCTTGGCGATGGCTGGGATGAAGAATTTCGTGTCACCATTTGCCGTCGGCTGAGTAGCCGCAGGACCCGCCAAGTAAGGTTATTTGGGCATTGCGTTACGTTGCTTGGCCCACAAGAGCCTCAATGGCCTTGTCTTGCTTCGTTTCCTCATCATAGACTTTGATTACTAGGTCTCGTCACAACCGAAGGGATTGCGAGTGAATCTCTCTTAATCTGTCTATGCTTGAAAATGAATTTCCATCTCAAAAGATTATATCTGGAGATAAACGCCTCACGAGAGACGCCGAAGTGTACGTGTATAGTGATATTACTTTCCTACTGTAGTCTTCAACTCGCTTTCATTCAGCTCGCAATCATCCTAGCATAAGTCGCTAGATCGTGCCAAGGGTGGCATCGCTTCCGTCATCCGAAGAAACGTCCTCTCTTCCATGCTCTACGCGTCCCCTCACGACCCCTAGTCTCAATGTTGGGCCCCCCTCCCCCCTGTCAACCCGTTTGATCCAACATTATTCCGTACCAGCGATATCGAGACTCTGATACGCATCGGATCACTCGTTCACGACTCTTCCGAGCGCAAATCGTACCTTAATTCGCACTTGGCAATGGCCCAAACGCCTTATGCCTTGCTGAAGAGTTCAGACGTCGACGTACAGCACTCTTGGCTCCGAGTATCTTGGCTTCTGCTCTCGTCGACATATAAGCCACCCGTCCCGCCGCGAACATCACATATTTTTCCTTCTTCTCCATCCACACGCATTCAAGTCTCTTTATCCAGTCCGATCTCACTCATTCCCTTCATTCATTCTCTTCAGAGGTGGGTCTCATCTCAAGGCCAGATGAACAGAATACCATACTAACCAACAACCAGCTGTGCTCTTTGTTCTCTTCACTCTTTTCAGGTCGTTTACAAACAAAACCAAAACCACTCTTTACAGGAACAATCAAGAGCTGTGCTCTCTTCAAACATAATCCATTTTTAATCAAACCCCCCAATCCACCAATCAGCCAAAATGCGCTTCTCAACCATCATCCTCTCCACCCTTACCGCCTTCGCCGCCGCGGCACCCGTCGCCGACACCCTGGAACCCCGCCAGGGCAACGGCAACAACAACAACAAGAACAACATCGACCTCGCAAACCTCAACAACCTCCAAGGCTTCCGCAACCTCGACCTAAACTACCTCCTGGCCCTCAACAACCTCAACCTCCAGGGGCTCGGCCAGCTGGGCCAGGTCAACAACCTCAACCTCGCCGCCTTCCAGAACCTGTTCGCCGCCCAAAACTTTGACCTCAACGCCCTGCTGCAGCTGCAGCAGCTGTCCACCGTGCTGGCGATCCAGCAGCAGGGCGTGTTTGGCAACGTCAACCTGGCGCAGCTGAATCTAGGTGGCCTCAACTTGGGGCTCATTGGCGGGGTCGGGCAGGTGAACTTGGGACAGTTTATTGACCAGGGCTTGGTTGGGCAGATTAACCAGGTCGTTCAGCAGTCTTCCGGTACGTTTTTGGCTTCGCATATGGACTATTGAAATCTTGAGTGCTAACCAGGGGTTCTTCTTTCGCAGTCGTCGTCGTTGCAAAATAAGCACTCTACATCTGTCCTCCAGGAATAGGCGATGCAATGTATTCATGAATTGGGCTACGGATTGCCACATTTGGGACACGGTGTTTCAACCTGCTTTTCTCTTCTCTCTTAATGACTGGCGCATGAACTTTCCTTGATTCTACAAACTAAAGGGGGACTGGTCGATACAGGTACTAGAATCAAGATGACAAGATGGCATGTATGGATATAGGTGCCGTGACAAATTTACGAATCTTCACCCAGAACATTTCTCTGTGTACCACTCTCAAGTGAGGCTACGGGCCGAGTGACAAACGCATACAAAAGTTTGATGAAGCTTCTCTGATCAACCCCCCTTTAGGCCTCTCGACTCGAGTCTAAAGTCAACATTTCCAGAAAGAGATACTCAGACGGGGTGCAGGTAAGACTCGGGTTTGTATTCGGCATTCGAGCTACTGACAGGCCTCATCATAGTCGCCAGTACATGCAGTACTTTGATATTCAAGAAAAAGTAACAGGCGTCAAGCGCAAGAGTGCTTGCGAGTGCTCAAGAGTGGGCTTCTGATACACACTAGGTATACCAGAATCCTCGCAAAGATCCAGCAGGTGCTTTTACATTTCCAGCCTAGAATCTCTGGTGTCTCTCATCTGTTTTCTCAATCATCGAGACCGGCGATCAATAAAGCCATGAAAGACCTCTGCCTAGTCCTACATTTTATATTTCATATGGACGGTACGTTTCATGCCCCCCCCCCCCCCCCCCCCCCCCCCCTCCCCCCCCCCCCCCCCACCACCCCCACCCCCCCCCCCCCCCCCGCCCCACACCCACCTCTCCCCCCCCCCCTCCCCTTCCTTTTCACTTTCCTCCCCCCCCCCCCCCCCCCCCCACACCCTTCATTACTAGCTCTCCCATCACAGGCACAGATCTGCCCCGAACTTCGGACCAAACAGTACCTCTTGCTTCCCTTCCTTCATGATATTCTTTGTCGTTGACTGACTGCCCCCACCCCCCAAATGAGTCCCTTCACTCATATCTAGCATCGAATGTTCTGTCTAACCGTCTCAGTCGCAATAATAAACGCATACAGCATTCAATGGCGCGGACCCAATAAGAGATCAAGTCAAGATCATTCAAGAGGTTTAGCGAGTCCGATACCCCTGATTCAAGCCTGATACAGAATCCCACGAGAAATAGAATTTGGCAGCCCCCCCATCCGTTGCTCGTACTACACCATCAGGACTGTCTCAAAGCAGGCCAACATTGTTCGTTAGCCCAACCATAGCTGCATCACAGGAGTTTTGTTAATACCAAACACCCTCTCTCGCCGACAAGTATCTCGCAGTCGCTGTACTTCGCTGTACCGACGCTCAACAAGGGTACTGCCCGCTCACTCCGTCAACGCCGGCTCTACAAGTCAACAATAGATAAGCTATTCCAGACGCAAAGAGTATATGATGAATCGTCATTTCAACAAGCGATTGCTCACTGACCAATACCGCACGAGAATGGGACACCGTAAACATCCAGCCTGCTTACGAGGTCCATGTCCCAGGTTGGAACATATTCCAAGCACGAGAGGACGTAAAACATACAGCAACGCCAAAGTCCAAGTTTCTCATATCGACCCTGACCTGTTGCTTACGAGACTTCATTCCTTTCAGTACCGCCGGTAAGATATCAGCACCCAGGCAAGCACAAACTACATTCGTTGGGAAAGTCAAACTCTGCCGCCAACACATCATCATCCAACTCATCTTCGAAATTGCCTAGCGCTCAGCTTGTACACGACATCATATGTCGTAAAGAACGATATTGAAAGGTACACGTATTATTTCCTCTCTATGAGATCGCTCACTGTTTGCGTAGCACGTGTGCCGCGGTCAACATCTCGTGAGCACCATCACAGCATCAGCCCCCCACTTCCCACTTCATCCCACGGGCACAGTTCCATCGCGTTGGCCCAAGATAGCAATTCATGCACTCAAATACGAGCAAACCACCCTCCAGGAGAAGTATATCCCGTCACGCAAAGAACCTGCCTGATGGTGGTTATGTTACTTTGTCATATTTCACGTATACGTTCATCACCGGAAGAGCACGTGGTCACTCCCGTACACGCATACAAACACAAACCTTTACGGATACCCTATTGTTAAATCTCCTTGCACATGATCTGATTTCGTACCACAATCCCACAAAGCACGCACATACACATTCCCGACAAATGAAAACACACACATGTCCCCCATCCCCAGAATTTCGCAGCTCCAACCACTAACATCCCCCCCTCGGACTCCTCCTAAGTGGAAGCCTGCACGAGGGACTCAGGTAAAGACAGTGACCCGGAGCTGGCCGACCTGCATATGTGGAGAGGTACTCCGTCCGGAGTACACAGGAACCGAAGAAAAACCCTCACCTAAACACGGGAAATCTTGACGGGGAGTCCGAAGATCAATCCCCCGCCCGCCCCTCCATTGACAATTCCCTTGCGACTGTCGATCTTTCGGGTATAAAAAAGACATTTTTGTGGAAACATACGAATTTTCTCAGGGAGAGGAAAAGAACGTGGGGAATAAAACAACCAAAAAACCCGTTACCCGCGTGCCCTGCTTAGGAGAACCGGACCGAAGGGAGTGTTGCAAGACAAGGCGGGTATCCTCTGTAGGGATGTTCCCAAGGCTCGGCGTTCCTGGAGACGGTTGCCTCCCCCTCCCACCCGCCGGAATACGAAATGCATTGGCATCTTGGCAAGCCTTGTTGCGGAGACGAGCATACGAAATCCGACAGCGAGAGGAAAGAAAAAGAAAGCAGTTTGGCCCAGAAGAGCTCAGGAGGGGGACGATGTCTCGAGACTGCTGATGCGATGTCGCCATTTGTGGCAGTTCTGCCAAGTCAGGGGAAGAGGTGACCCAGGAATCATTCCTGTTGGGCCAGAAACGAAATTTCGTGGGCGCATTTGTGAGGCTGACATCTTTGCAACGGGATGGCGCAGCGCAGGTCTGAGATCCCCTGAGTGAGATTTGCTGGAATTGCAATTGTTAGGTCAGGCTGTCAGCTTTGGGAGCTGAAAAGAAAAAAAGCCTCGTCAGGTCAGACTTGCAGTAAGCAAATGCACTCGCTACATGTGCAGCTTGTCGAAGCCTACCAAGGAGCTCACACGACAAACGTGTGTTATCCAACCTCCCAGGCAGGGCCTTGTTTCCAATATTTTCCACTTGTTCTGCAAATTTTCGGCTTGGGCGTGATGATAAAGCCAACTGAAGTATGCTGCCGCACGCACGCGGGGGACACGTAGAGCCCGTGACTCGGCCCCGGGCCGGAATCCTCAGTTCGTGCCCGACCGGCCGGGGTGGACTGAGGCGGACGTGATTGGACTACCTCTCACAGTCACAGCCCGCACGAACGGGACTGCAGGCAAGAGGCGGGGGAAAGCTCTGAATTTTCGGGACAAGCACGCGTTGCATGGGGCCGAGGGAAACCATAACTTGCAGGTGAATATCGGGGTGCATGCATGACAGACTTTAGATGCGGATCTTTGGCGAGCCGATCAGCTTCGTAGGTGCAGACAACTGATTTCGTACATCGCGGTGCCCGCGGAAGTGTTGCGTCCCTCACGGGCAGAGATTTCTTCGCTGGCTGCTCCAGGGTTTGACGACGAGCGGACGAAGGAAGACTTGGCAGAGGTTTGGTTGCGCGCTCGGACGACGTCCCGTGGGACGGCCGTTTGGCAGGCCATTTGGCATTGCCAGCGAGTCCGTCAGACGCTCTGATGGATATGGCCGCGCCTAATGACCCGCTAAGAGCTCCCTCGTGGCTGCGTGGCATCCCGCTTACGCCGCTTGCGGCGACAAAGCTTCTGTCGGGCGTCTGTTGACCGAAGCCATTACGCCTGTGTTAAGCCACTGGCTCAGGTAAGAGTGCTGCGATGGAGGCACGAAGGTTGGGTTAAGGTCATATGCGGCGGTTCAGGGCACCTCCCGCGAATCCAGACTCAACCGCTACAATTCCACCCATCCAAACGTCATGTTAGTCGTGGGTTGTAAAGCCAAGTATGGGAGAAACTTGGTCAATTGAGGCAAGGTTCACAGGAACCGCTGATTCTGCTAGTACCCCATAGACGGCATACGCCGGCGAGATTAAGATCGACCCGGAGTTATGGGAGGTGGGAGTGAACGACTACGGCATCGCCTTTTTTCGACCCTTGGAAGATCTGGACCCTGGATACTTGATAACCCACCCGGAAACGAGCAGATGTCTGGTCGAGACTCTGAACTGCGAAGCGTTCGCGGCCAACGTCGCTTAATGCCAAGCTCCAAGTGCCGGATCGCATCATAGTGGCGGATATTTTCAAACAAAGAGAACGGAGCTCCAAGGTACTCCGTACCGCAAAGCTTTGGCTCTCGTAGACGCAACCGAGCCATAGGCAAGCAGATGGGCGATTTTGGACCCTGAGCGATGGATGAGTGACGTGGGGAGGCAGGGAATCAACTGCCTCGCAGTGCAGGAGCTTCGGGATGCACAGAGCTTCCCATTCTGACACACGACAATCCGCAATACGGCCGTGGCTGACGGCCACGTCCACTGCTATGGCGACACGAATGCACTGACGGTAGGAATTCTTGCGCTCGCAGGAGCAAGGCAGCAGAATTATGTTGTGGGGAAAGCTGTCTCTGGAGGAAGGCTGTGCGTTTGCTCGTCCATAGTCTGACCGTCCGAGCTCGAGGTGTTGGGAGTCTTGGGGTGGGAAATAGGGGATGATCTGACGTATGGTGCATTGTCGATGGGCCGAACAGGGAGCGGGTTTATGCAGTGACGCGGAGAGTGTTATGCAAACTACCAGCGGTTGGTCTCTGATCTCTGGCGCTAGCAGAGGTTTCCAAGGCAAGGCTGGGGCCCCAAACGATGGTGGTCGGGATATGCTGTATGTCAGTGGTTCTCCTAGAGTCTTGGTTGCTCAGTGCTGTAGGGGCATATGCATGTCAAGTTCAGGTGCTCTTGTGTAGGTAATCCATCGTCCCATCAGTTGCGGGCGTGAGATGGATGGGACGGTGTGGTTTGTGTCTGCATGGTGGTTGCATTCTCGCGAAGCCGGTTGCAGCCAAGTCAGGTACGGATGCATGAGGTGTGGGATGAGGTTTTTAAGTTTGGTTGGCTGGAAGGATCATCGAGATATCCGCAGCCCGAGGCCAAAGTCGACCACGATGCGATGCAGATGCAGATGCAGAGCTGCAGCACCGGCCGTACTCGAACGAGCTTGATCTGTTGCAACAATCGAGCACTCGCCATTTGCCAATCCCTTCCGTTCGTGTCGGGCTTGCCTAGACCACGATGCAGTGGGGATTGGCCATGATCGTGGATGCAGGTCTCGACTGTTGATGTCAAATAAGAGAACAAAGAGGGAGAGGCATAGAGTATCGGTATCGACCGAATGACAGGAACAAGAAGCCGCAACGGGAATAGTCGAGGTTCAGTATTGGTAGCGCGATGCGGTTCAAGACCCGACGACTGTTGCAATCGCGCTTCGTAGCGGCTACCTCGTTGGACCAAAGGACCGAAGTCTTTACCCCAGAGTGCCGGCCTCCAGGTGGGGGTGGAAAGTTGGAAGAGAACAAAGAGACGGGCGAGGCGGCCTTGTCAGTCGTTAATCACTGGAATGCTGAACTGTCGCTTGTCTTCCATCGGGCCCAAGCATGTTTCCTCAAGGAGGGAAAAAAATCTGCCATTTGGCGCGGCCGTGGCTGTGGCTGGATTAGCACGTCACTATACGTAGACGCTACGCTGAGACCAAGGGTCCCAGCGTGCCGAACACGGCGTGCTGCAAACCCACGGAGCAGACTTCGAGGGTTCACGACCGTCGACACTGCTGTGATGTTGGTCACGATCCACGTCAAGATGGAGGTTGGCGGCTTCGTGGCAAGGTGATTGAGGTGAGACCGTGAGAAGTTCTTGAGCAGTCTGGGCGAATGGACAGACGGGCGGCTTCCACCGCGGGAGATCAGTTAGACTGGACCTTGGGCTTGTGGAGATGACAAGATGTACTTTGGAGGTACCTCGGGGAGTTCCACCACGATATGAAGGGTCGTGGTTGTTGATGAGCGTATCCGTACTGTTTCTTTGCAAGGAGTCTTGGAATCGGACAAGCAAATGAACGAGTCGATACGTTGTTTGGATGCCTCTCCTTTACCCTTGACTCTTGACTGTCGCCTTAAGAGACTCTGGTTGAGTTGGGACTGACCGCCTGCGGTGAAGAGTTGCCGCCTTTTCCATGCAGAGGTTTCGAACCCACACAATCGGATAGTTGCATCAGATGTTGTCTTGTTGGAAAATGGAGAAGCTGAGGAGAAGAGATCCATCTGGCAAAGTGACAGGTCACAAAAGGCGTCCCCGAAGTGCGACGAGGCAGGTACAGAGTACCGGAGACGGGTACTTGCCTGGTTGGTGAGTCCACCGTTGCTCCTCTCACCTCACCTCTCACCTCCAAGTACCTTTGGATGTACCTCCCTTCACCACCTCACCTCACCTCACCTCACCTTGCCTCACCATGGGCAGCGCAGGTACGCTGAGGTAGGTATTGCATTCAAGGTGCTTAGCTAAGGCAGCTTCGGGTGATCCTCGCCCTCACTCAGTACACTGATACTGACTGTGAGCCCCTCAGTGAGGGGACCCAAGTAGTAGTGTACGTACCCAGCCTCGCTCCGTCACCAGCTCAGCCCAGCTTCCAGCGGGTCCTTCGGGCCTACAATCCCCACTACAACCCACTGGACGAACACCCTTTGACACCCAAATTAGCACTCGCTGAGGGTTGTCGTCACGGTGAACCGGGCAAGCCAGAACAACATGGCCAGGCTGTCCCTGGTTGCCATCCATGAGATCCAGGAACCTGCCCCCTTCTCGAAAAACAACACACTCGCAACATGAACGCGCAACACGCACGACACCACCACCACCAATGTCTAAAGGGCAACTCGTGCGAGAGATTCTCCTTGGGATCACCTTGGGAAGCCTGCCTACCTTAGGTATTCCGTGACTCCGTAGAGGAGTGCAGCAAGGTTTGCTTGGCCTTTTCGTATCCATGTGGTCCATCGGAAAATACCACCAGTCAGGATGCAATGGATGAACAATGGCACCATCTGATCGACCATCCGTGTGACGAAAAGCCCGCCGTTCCTGGATGTGCCACGGTGATGGTCAAACAGAACTGGACCGCTTGTTTGAGCCCCAGAGGCCCTTGAGCAAGCCTGTCTTGTCTGTCTTGCCCTTTTTCTTTTCCCCGATTCGATCCCTTTCTCGGATAGGCAATGAGGCACGGGGGTGTACTTTTGTGAGGGGACGCGAGACACGGGAACTGAAGAGCTGCCACACCAACTCATCGAGGCTTCCTTTGGCATCTGATTGAATGTCGACAGCTGCAAGCTCCAGGAGAGGGATTCGGTGGATGATCTGAGACTCAGACGACGGAGGCAGGATGAACAAGGCCCGAGACGGGATGGCAGCATTGGCACTGTCATCATCAGGATGGGTTGATGAGGGGATGCCAACTGCCGTCCACCCATCCAACGTCATCCTGTACTAGCATTCTGAAAGAGAGGAAGGATAGCTGGACGTGTTATGATCTGAGGCCAGGGAATAAGCCAGCAAGCACCATCATCAACACCACTGACTGCGGCGGCATGCGGCGGCGGGCCTGCCTTTTTTGCTGCCCAGGGTGCTCACTGCACAGGACTGACGCGAGCGTTTCGTCTACAACGGGCAAAAGGGAAACAAAATTGCCAGCCATCGACGCAAGATTCCCGAAGCCGGGATGCCTGTCTTGTTCGTTGCGTCAGCCACCGTCACATATTATCTTGTGGGATGGGCAACACAAGGCGACCGGAGTGGTTGGGATGTAATTTGAGTGCGAGTAACTGAAACGATTCTTATTTTTTTTTTGAATTTTAATCCTGCGTCTACGGATACTGCGTATGGATCAGGTATGCCTGGGTATCACCGCTGCTGGGTAAGGCAACCTGTGCCTGTGTAAGAGTGGGATTTGTTTGGGCCCTGTTCATCTGACTCTTATGGATAACATTAACAACAAATCCATGCCAAATGGGAATTCAGCGATGATGTGAAGTCTTTCTGCCCAAGGCTCGCATGTTTGGTTTGCCATGACCGGACGATAGTAGTCGATAAACCATGCACCTAGATGCAAGAGAATGGGCACCTATTCAGACCCATCCATCAGGTATAGAGTACCCATACGTGTGGTGATGAGTGGCCATTTTTGCCCGCATTTTGTCACTTTGTTTTGTGCCCGCATTCCCAATTTCTCGCTTCTCTTCTTCTTTTCTCGACTCCATTCAGTGATCCTCGCCCACATTGCTGCTGCCCCCCCCTGCCGGGCCTGCCCTCGTTCTTGCAGATACGCTAAAGAGCCGAGAGGGAAAAGAGGACCATTGCCGGGGTTTCCTTCTCGTTTTCCCTTGCCAAGTTGCTGTTACACCCCTGTCTTGGTGCCCTCTTCTCGGCCCTCGTCCACGTCGTCTTCGGTTCTCACCTACGGGTTATCCGCACCGCCTATTTCGTCCACCACCACTTGCTAGCTAATACTTGCCATCGTACGGAAAGCAATGCTCCCGGGGATCGAGACTTGTAGGGGGTGTGCGAAGATTAGACTGTAGAAACAAAAGACAGCAAGAGTAGATAGACCAGAGAGAGAACGCCAAAGCCAGATGATCCCGCTCAGACAGCGCGCTAAAAGTGAAGGAGTGAAAGAAAACCAAAGTTGCCAAAGAAAAGGTACATGCGAGGTACGTCCGAAGAGTACAGGGGGGAGGCACTGGGGGGCTTTGGACACAGAGCGCAGCATTGCATCAACACGGACCATTCTGCACTACTGGCGCAGTACAGAGTACCTACGCCTCCACCCCAACCTGCCTGTAATGGCATGAGCGATGGGCGATGAGAGGTTCCCAATTGTCCTGTCCATGTCTTTCCTCTTCTTCGTCTCCAACTTGTGCTTGTTGCGGAACCCACTTGGTGCAACGCCCACCGCCGAAATACACACTCTCTCTCAACCAGATAGTACCCCGTACAGAGTGCCAGAATCCCAGAATCCCAGGCTCTTCCCGCTCCTCGCGACTCGTTTCCCAAACCCGACTCAGCCTTACTTCGCTTTATGAACCCTGCATAACTTACCAGCAACGGCATCTGGGATCCTTTCTCTCTGTGTCTGGTCCAAGTTCGAAGCCCCTTTCTGGTGTACGGATACACCCATTGCTACTAGGTACGGAGCATGTACTCGGACCTGGCAATCCCAATCCCAATCCCAATCCCAAATCCAATCCCACCACGCCCGTCCATCATCCACCTACCTCACTACATATACCGCCCCGACCTCCCACCTCATCCAAGCCTCTCTCCTTGTGCTCTCCTACTCACCTCTCCAACCCGACGTTGCGTGATCACATCATCCCCTTACGACCGAGTACGAGCTACTGCCCTAATCACACACCCGATTACAAGCTGCATACGAATATGAGCAGCACCCCCTACTGCTCAGGACCGAGGACAGGAAGAGTTGGCTTTTACGACGTTTACCACCCACGACCGACACGATCCACCAACAGATAATTTTCTACCCGTTCCGCTATTGTTACTGTTGTAAAACAGGAATCACTTCGCATACACACACATTCCAAAACCAACAACTACCACCAGGCCCATCAGTCAGAGCCGTGGGCACGAGACACAACGACAAGATGGGCAACATGGCGAGACAGGTCCAGAACACCGACTACTCGGACGACGAATACGGAGCCGAGGACGCCTACTTCACCTACCGACCCCTCTCCAACCTTCCCACCCCGCCACCTTCATCCAGGAATTCTTCCGCCCACCAGAGCCCGAAAACGGCCTTGGAAGAAGGCGACATCCTGCAAGAAAAGTTCCTTGGTACGTGCAGCCCGAATTACGTGATGGCGGATGGGGAAAGAGCTTTGGCAACCCTTACAGACTTTACCCCGTCTTGCTCCAACGCTCGTTCGTTCGATGGGCATGCTCCAAATGCAATATATTATATGCAATGTAATGCTAACCTCCGCGCGCTTACAGGCCCCGCCATCCACCTCGTCAACCTCGTTCCCACGTCAGCTTCCCTCACGACCCCGTCGGTGCCTCTGGTCCAGGCCATGCTCAGCCGGTCCGGCCTCCCGCTCGAGACCATCGCCTTGGCCGTCTGCATCCTCGACTCTCTCAACTCCAAGTTCGCCCTGAGCTGGCGCTTGCAGTGCCCCCTGCTCGTCGACGGTTCTTCCTACAACAAACGCCACACTCTTGGCCACAGCCCTCTCCTCGATCGCCGCCGCCAGCAGCAGCTGCACATCGACTCGGTCCAGCCCGAGCTCATCATCCTGTCTGCCCTCATCATCGCCGCCAAATTCACCGACGACTGCCACGACTCGACGTCATACTACTCGTCAAATTGGGGCAAGGACACTTGGTCGTGCGAGCAGATCAACGTAACGGAACGCTGCATCTGCGAGAACCTTAACTACCGCATCAAGCCCCTGGTCGACGATGAGGATCTGCTCGCCGACACTATGGTTGACATGCAGCTGGCCGCACGGCACTACAACTCGGCCCGCCCCGTCCAA